GTGTGTGTATGTGTGTGTGTATACACAGCACTAATGCCCCTGCTTAACTTGTCCACGTCATCGGTTACTGTAGCCAGCTGCTGTGTAGACGCTCACTAACAGACTGTTATTGCTTTGTTTTGCTGATATAATCGCAATGAATGTCAAGAGCGGAAAAATATAGTGTCTGATCTGTTGCATCCTTTTATACAACATATTGTTGTTTTCTCCCATCAGCTACATTAGCATTCATTTATTTTTTTCTGCTCCTTCCTCGTTTGTGTTCTTCAGGAGCCGTGTTCTCCCGCTTCATCCTCACCGGCGTGTGGAAGAACCTGATCGATGTGCTGTCCACGCCGCTGACGGGCCGCATGGCGGGCAGCTCCAAAGGCCTGGCCTTCATCCTGGGAGCTGAGGGTGTCAAAGAGCAGAGCCAGAGGGAGAGAGACACCATCTGTCTGAGTTTAGACGGCCTACGCAAAGCTGCTGCTCTCAGCTGCGCCTTGGGTGGGTGAAACATGTGTCTCATGTGTCTATATTAATGAATAAAACATGAGATGCATTGCTCATCCCTGCAGGAAATCATCTGTTCTCCTCCCCTTTAACACTGAGAGGCCTTCAGTAGAATCAACCTGCCTTGATACGACATCCCAAACCTATAACGACAGCTTTGTAACAATTGGAATCCAATCAATCTGAATCATTTTTTAATTTGGTGTCTAAAAAGGTACTTTCAGATTGTATTAAAGGTCCACCCACGCAGGTGTTATCACTTGTTTTAGCTGATTTGACCTCTAAGACGTGTTTGGGTGTGCCACAGATTGTAACTGATTGACAGTTCCTTCACCTTCCTGTAGGTTTTGTTAAGTCAGGCCAGTTTAAAATACAGCCTCTTCCTAAAACAACCCTAAACAGAAGCTCATTATTGAGGAGTTTCACATTCACAGCACCGTGGCACCTTGCACATACTGCTTCCTGTAATTGCATGACTAGACAGCACTTACTTGCAGTCAGAAAACTTTATTGTTCATTTTGCCTCCACACTAACTGGTTTGGGACCCAGTTTAATAGGACAAACCCTCCACATGAATGCACAGACGCAGGTGAAGTGCAAAGGGCCAGAGAGCCCTGTTGTTATTCTAATGGACATTATAGGTTAATGACCACACAGGTGAAATGCAGATGCCAGTGCCCTTTAACAGTTTTAAAATAAACTTTGCAGCGTGGAAATATGCAGAACATTAGTCAGCTCCATTTTGATCATACTGAAAGTGATTAAATTGACTTTAACTTAACTTGACTTAACTAATTGTAAATAAATAATATACTGCACTGTATGTAAGTTTTTTAAGTCATATAGCAGTTTGGGGCTGATACATTTTGTTACACAGATTTAGTGCAAAGTTTAACCATTTATGAAATTGCTAAATATACCACATTAAGACTTCAAGACCTTGAAAAACACCATAGAAAAATTAATGTTGTGATTTGCTATCAATAACTGTAAGAGTTGTGTTTTCCGATGATTGGATGGCGATTACTTCTGCTCTGGAAATTGCTCAGAAATCCCTTTCTTTTCAGTATAGTAAGGAAAGAAAAACCTCCCCTGAATGCCCTAGGTCTCTAGTTTATGGTTGTGTTGTTTCATGAGGCTGTCATTATCCTAGAGGTAACAAAATGTAATTTCATACAATGAGGTCAACTTTAAAAAAAAAGGTCTCTCTACAATCCAGTGGCTAGTATGGGAACTAACATCATCACACATGAATCCACATGGTGTCAGCCTTCCAGTCATACCCAATTTATACAGTTCCAATGCTGTTAGGCATCCCAGTATGGAAAAATATTCAAATACACTTCTGTTGCCCCAAATCCCTATGGGATTAGCATAAAGTGGGCATGTCTGTAAAGGGGAGACTCATGGGTACCCACAGAACCCACATTCCAGTATATTCACTTTAAAATTGAGCCTGCAGCGTCTGAAGCACAGTAATGTTGGCCGAGGACGTATTAGTGCCTGTGGGGTTCAAATTTAACAAGTGACAGCTGCTCAGTAACAACCTGAACACACAGCAGCTCCACTAGAGGTTAACAGGGAGGTTCAGGTTTTCACACAAACTGCAGATTTAAGAGAGAATACCAGAGGAAATACATTATTGCCAGCCTCTTTTAGAAATCTAAATGTATCAGTTTTTAACTGCCACAACCGCACAGCCAAACAGGGACGAAACCTGATTATCAGCACAGAAGCACTGATGAATATGAATGAACACATGGTGTACAGCCTCAACTGTGGACAGTTTTTCACAGCCAGTTTAGATTTGAATACACCCAAAGGAGTAGAAAACCCAGACATACTGTATTCCATCCATCTGTGAAATGTCTTATCAGTAATGATGTTTTTAGGATGGGATAGTGAATGAAACTCAGTAGCCCATCTTTACACTCTGTGTGTGTGTGTGTGTGTGTGTGTGTGGCCGTCAGGTGTGGCTGCCAACTGTGCCTCAGCTTTAGCACAGATGGCTGCAGCCTCCTGCGTGCAGGAGGAGAAGGAGGAGAAGGAGGTGGGAGAGACAGGAGACGCCATCACACAAGGTACTGAGAGCACATAGTATTTTTGTATTATCTCTATACAAATGAAACCTTTTATGGCACCTGGATGATAAAGATGGGGAGATAATGTTACAAGACCAACTAGAAAGATGAATACACATCTTTGAGGTAGCAGTATTGGCTTTGCACAAATGAGACCTGAATGCTTTTTTTCCTTATTTTATAGCCAAGTAAAAATGAATCTGATATGTGTTTTCCACAAAAAAGTATAATTTCCACTTTAACATCCTTAAAAAGGCATCTACTTCTCAAATCTCATTAGAAAATCCAGAATCTATATAAGTATGCTAATTTTGTTCATTTCTAAAGTCCATTCTCAGTGGATGTGCACTGGTGGCTTTAAGTTTCTACATCACACGATCACAAATCACGCTCGTAGGCCCCGCCCCTTAAAATCTGATCTGAGAAACTTTCCACTTAACTTTCCAAAACTAGTTAGCAAGCTAGCAGAGGAGATGAAACAGTTTGCTGAAAGTAATGGATAAATGGTTGGAAGGCCAGCTTTTGCCACATATGGTTGCAGAGAGTTTAACTGTATAAAAATATTGTAACATCCACTATTATCACCACTTATATATAACTTATACGATACATTTTTAAATAACATCCAGTTCAAAATTAATTCAAATTCAATTTGGGAAGTGTTGGTTTTGATGAAGGGGTATTGAGTTTATCAGACTGTGCTGTGGGGAATGTGGGGAAACTTACAAAAAAGTTGGGAACCAACTGCTGTTTGTTGTGGGCAGTATTAAAAAATTGATGAGCTATAAAGTTTTATAAAGTATGTGAGTGTGTTGCTCTAAGTTTGTAAATGTTTTTACAAACTTACAGTATTTTGTTCTAATTGACCATTAGACATCTGCTGTCCTCTGACTATGTTTCACCATGTGTGTGTCATTTTTCTGGATATGCATTTGTGTCTGTGTGTGTGTGTCCAGTGAAGCAACGTGTTGAGCAGCGGCTGGAGCAGATCGGTCGTCCTCAGGGAGTTCGCCTCCACACCGCTCATGTGTTGTGTATGGACGCCATCCTCAATGTAGGACTGGAGATGGGTAGCCACAACCACGACTGCTGGCCGCATGTTTTCAGGTACACACATGCACACACACACACACTATACAATATACTTCAACAAATTTCCCCCCGGGGTCAATAAAGTATATGTATTGTATATGTTTTGGGCAATGATTTTTGCCATTACATTCTTTCCTTTTCTTTTACTTCCTGATCGGAATGAAAAAGTAAACTGAAAGTAACTGAATTTCTAAATACCCATGGGATGATTGAAAGGAGTAGAATTCCTTGTTTGAATTTTTATAGCAGCAACATTGCCTCTGAGAAAAAACAGAACAAGGACAAACAAATTACAGTTTTAGGGCCTTTTAGGACAATATCTTTTGGGACACTTGGAACATTTTTTAATTTAAGTTTAATTTCAAACTTGTTAGTGTGGGGGAAAAAAAGTTGCTTTTAGTTCTTCAGTAGATGTAATTCTGGAGATACAGTGCTAATACAGTATATTTACACTGACACTTTTTTTTCACCTCTTTTACCTCCTTATTTTCCCTCTCTTTCCCCCCCTTTCCTGGTCTCCTGCCCCTCCTCCTCTCTCTCTCTCTCTCTCAGGGTGACTGAGTACATCAGTTCACTGGAGCACACCCACTTCAGTGATGGCTCCTCGCAGCCGTCCTCTTTGACCACCATCACCCAGCAGAGCCAGCAGGCAGGTGTGGACTTGGGGATGGAGCTGAGCTGCGAGCCCAGCCCAGAGGCCTCTGAACTGGGCTTGAGCCAGCCAGTCATCCAGCCTCTGTCCATCCAGGAGCTGCTGAGGGAGAGTAGCCGAGGGGGCAGAGGTCTGGACCTGAAGAGCGGCAGCCTGATGACTGGGACCAGTGCAGCCAAGGCTGTGTGTACACTGTCAACACAGGCAGACAGGTAGGGCATAAATATCACAACATCATAACATCATATATTTATCTCTATAATCATACATGAATGATCATTTATTTTAGCAGTGGTTCACAAAATACATATTTTTTAGCACCATTATAGATCTCCGCTTATCAAGTATATATATCGAGTATATTGCATTGTTGACAAAATATACTGTTTTTGTGAAATATATAGAAATAGAAATATATATATATATATAAAAAAGTTTGGCAAAAAAAAAAAAATTAGTATTTCAGTAATTATGTGAAATGTTAATGACTAGTGCTAAAACAATTGGATTCTTTAGAAAACAAACATTAAATTAACATGTATGATTTAGTTTTTTTGGCAGACATTTTAGGAAATTTCTTTTTTTCTGTTCTTTAAATTGTTAAAAATGATCTTTTTAATAAAAGCACTTATGAAAATGTGTTTTATTATCAGAAACAGATCGACTGAAAAAGTGAAAAGTATGGACCCAAAGTAAAGCATTCACATTCACAAACCAGAAACAGTATTTTAGGTCATAGATTTAGGTTATTTTTCTCAGTCATTTAAAGGACCATTAAGTGGCATCTAGTGGTGAAGTTGCAATTGCAACCAACTGAATACCCCTCGCCATCCAAGCATGTAGGAATGTAGGATAAACTATGCCAGTGTTTGGTTTATCCATTCTGTGCTACTAGAAACACGGCAGTTAAACATGGCGGGCTCCATAGAAGAAGACCCACTCCCTCTGTAGATACAAAAGGCTTATTTGAAATGTTAATATTATTTTTGTACTTAAACATTTAAATTTTTCAGAGTAAAGTATGAAAACAACCAAATTTTTATTGTTTAACATACTTAAATTAATGCAAGTGTTAAAAGTAACTTTTATTAAAGGTCCAGTGTGTATTGAGGAGGATCTTTTGGCAGAAATGGAATATTAGTACAGTATGTTTTCATTGGTGTATAATTATGTGAAAATAAGAATCATTGGGTTTTTGTTACTTTAGAATGAGCCGTTTTTTATGTACATGAGTCCATCATGTGGCACCATCATGTTTCTACATTAGCCCAGAATGGACAAAACAAACACTGGCTTTTGTAAGTTTTGTGTCACCAATAGTTTTCCCTTTAAGTTTAAACAATATGCATATACACAGAACAATACATGGAGAACAAATAGCATCATAGCAACAGGAATATTTCCCCCCAACCAGTCTGCCTCAATGCATCTTACACAAAGATCAAAGCACATAACATGAATAGTAATAATAATAAGAGTATATCAAAATATGGTGCCTAGTGTGTAGATTGTAAAATATGTCAGCTTCCTGCTTCCTTAGTTCTGCCCAATAAAACGTCTGTTGTTTCTTCATCACCTTGTTAAACCAGCAGCGAGCATGACAGTGACTCTTAATGAATTTATCTGCCAAAACCCCCATCTCACTAACACATGGTTCTCTGCAGGAGGTGCTGGGTTGTAGCCACAGGATGGCAGCAGCAGTACAGAGCTGCCAGAGTGTGTTTGTTTGTGTGCTCTTATACTTCTGTCTTTGTAAGGACTAATTTGGTTTTTAGATCCTAAGGGTGAGGGCATTTTTGTGGGGTGATGAGGGAATGAAAAAAATGAGCACAGTTTGAATGGTCATCACTTCACAGGGTTGTTTGAGGTTTTCGACTAGGTTTTAGGACTAAATTTGGAATTAGATCTTGGTTAAGGTTAGAGTCCTTACAAGTGTTGAAATACAAATGTGTGTATAAGTGCGCGCTAACAGTTCTGCACTCATTTAAGTGTATTCCTTGGCACAACCAACATACACACACACACACAAACACACTGCTGCAGTAAATATGGAGTGCGTGTTCATTCCAAGGATCATCTCTTATGTAACCAGTTATCTAGGCTGCTTTTAGGAGCAAATAAAAAAAACTGTTCCCTCTGATCTTTTGGAACAGATGGAGTGAACACATTTACAAGCAGAAAGTGGTGCCAAAACATAGTAAATACTCCTCCGCACAGGGCTGTCCCAAAAACTCAGCTTAAAGAGCAACAACACAGCTGCATTGCTGCCTTAAAACGTTGTTCCTCTGCAGTTGTATAAC